TTGTGTATGGTTCAAAGGTGCAGTCCCTAAGCTTGCTTTCAACATGTGGATTGCTAATGCAGATAGGTTACCTACAAGAGCAAGGCTTGCGTCTTGGGGACTTCAAATCCCTACCACATGTTGTCTCTGCTCTCATGATGTTGAAACTAGGGATCACCTACTGCTCACTTGTGCCTATAGCAGAGAAGTCTGGAACCATGTTCTTGTCCGGCTGAACCCACCACCGCAGGCTTTCCGTGATTGGAATGAGTTACTCTCCTGGATAAGATCCACCACGGTTCACAGTCCAATTCTACTCCGTAAGCTAGCTGTTCAATCTGCAGTTTACCATCTCTGGAAGCAAAGGAACAACAAGTACCACAACAACTGCACAATTGCTCCCCTGGTCATTGTGCGGATCATATACAGGGAAGTGCGTAATACAATATAGGCTAGGAGGAATAGGAAGCAATTTCGATCGCTCCTATCAAGCTGGATCATTTAATCCTGCAGTCATTGAGATCTTTTATAAACTTTGCTCTATCTTGTTTTTTATCTTCTTTTTGCCAAGATAGAGTATTTTCTAGATTTAACTTGTTGTAAATCTGACAATCATTAATATGATATTAACATTCTTAGCAAAAAAAACGACGAGAATAAATTTGAAACATTTTTGAGAACTCATATTACTTAGAAACCATTTTTTTTAAATAAGAAATAAAAGAAAACATATAAAACTAATAAAATAAGTAATATTTTCCGTTATTAATAGATGATATTTTCAATTTTTAGTGTAAAATTTATTAATTTAAAAAATATTCAAATTATTTTCTTTTTTTTTGAGTATTTGCACTCTATACACACACAAAATCTTTTATTTAACTTCATATCCTATTTCCTTCTTATCTCCCTTCCCCCATCACTATTTTTTCTTCCAAAAATATAGTAAATCCCTAAATACCTTCTTCTTTTAGTATATTGTACTAATTTACTCGACAAAAAACTGTTCCACGCCTATCTTAAAGTATATAATTATAAAATATATAAATATATAATGTACAGTAAAAATTTAAAATTAGAATTTAAAATTATTTCTTTTTAAATTTGAAATTTTGTAACTTTTGTATAAATTTTTGAAAGACGAAATTATTGTTAAACTATGTTTAAATTTTATTTTAATTTTAAGTATTTATTTATTTTTAAAATTCTAAAACACACCTCTTAGATATAAATTCTAATTATAGATTAGGGATATATATGTCTTTATACCTATTTAAAACTAAAAATAAATATAATAAAATAAACATGAAAAATTGTATTAAGAATGTGATAATTTAAACTATTTTCTTAATTTTATATGCTATATAAATCTCTATGTTCTATAATTGTTTTTATATTGGTGAAATATGATTAATTGTAAAGTTACTAATGTTTTTATTTATTAAATATACAACTTTAGATACTTTTTTAAAAATTGTAAACGAATCTAGAACGTCAAATAAAAAAAGGTAAGTGATTATTACCTATCTTATAATTGTCATACAACTACAAGTCTCCAAATATCAGTGAATCTGATTAGGTCTCATATCTGTCCTTATAGAACAATAATACAGTATATTGGTTTGCTTAGCTGTAACTTCCTTCTTCGTTACCTAATATCTAGCTAATATATAATACAATAAATTAGTGTTTTCTTTCTTTCTAAAGCAAAAATAACACTTGTCATCCTATTATTTGTTGAAGAATATTTTTGAATGGATTTTATTTTTGACTTTGAACTCAAATTTTTTTATTAAAATTATTAAGCTTTAATAATTTTACCCATGAAAACAAATTTAATGTTTTCTTTTCATCTTATTTTATAATTGTATCTTCCAATGAGAATTCGTTTTTTGTTCAGTTTAGAATCGATTATAAAAATTCTTTATAGTAAAAGCATAAGACAGATTTTTCAAACCTAATATAATCGATTTCAGTTATATAATGTTGTTTAATCATGTTTGTAAACTTTGTGTTATGAGTTTATGCTGTTTTTTGCTAAGAATTTAATAACCTTTAATAAATATTTGATTTATTGTTGGTTATTTTTGTTTTTCCACTGGTGTATGTTGAAAATATCGAGTAAAAAATTAGGTTTCGAGTAAAATTTATATGAAATATCTAATAATCAAAGAATTAAATCAAACAAACCAAAACTTAGAACCGACTCATTAGTATCCAAAATTAATTTTTTTCAACAGTTTTTTTTTTATTTTTGGACCCAAATGACATGGATCCGGTAAAAACTAAACTGAAATCTAACCAAAAAATAATAAGTACCTATTGAATCTAATTTTACTATACCCGAAGGATCAAGATTTGACAGGAACCGATCCAAAACCCATCCGAAAACCCGAATGCCAAAATTTATTCTAGACATTGAGTTACAGTATTTTTGTAAAAAAATATATAGCCAAACCAAAAAAAAAATCATACCGAAAAATCCCTATTAATCAAATTTGGAACTCAACTAACCGAACAAAGTGAAATTAACTAAATTTATCCAAAATTTTAAGAAAATTTAAGCCAAATTAATTAAAACTTTGGAATGAATTCAAAAACTAAAGTAACAGAGTACCAAACTAAATTTTATTTTGGATTAATTTAGTAAAAATTTTGTTGAACCGATCTGAACCGGATAACCCAAACTAATTGAACCCGCATGTCTATGCCAAATTATTGAGGTTTTAACAACAATCACAAACAAGTTTCATGAGACAAATTCCCACCTAGCTGACACATTAAAATCTCGACTACATTTGCATCAAATATTATTATTAAAAACCGATGTGAAAACCTATTTTTCATATAAAGATATTTATGTATAGATTTATGTGGTTGATATCATGCATATTTGCATTTTTAATCATTTATTCTTGTACAATTTGAATCATTTAGATTAGTATTTAGACACATTTAGGTTCCATCTGCATTCATAAGTCTTTATCAAATATTGGAGAGTATTATTGATGAGTTTGAAAGTAATTAGGGCATTTTGAGGCAAAAGAAGTAAAGTTTACAACAAAGTGTAGCCAAGTGCAGTTAAGTGTAGCTAAGTGTAGTGAAGTGCAATCTTGTTCAGAGTCAACATTTGGAGTTTGACCAGATTCTTTTTACCATTTTATCCTTTGCGCTTTAATCCACTATAAATACTTGTTAAACCTAATTTCAGTTCTTATCTTATTTCTCTCAAGAACTTGCCTACTCTTGTAAAGCTTGAAACTTTTGATCATTTAAAAGAAGTACTTCATCTTATATCTTATTTCTCTTACTTATTAACATGATTAGCCTTGAATCTCATATAGATTAAAGGCTTCTCATGGAGATTAGTGACTAGTCAATTTGTGATTCAAGGGTTAAGTAGATTATGGTGATTAAGTGGATATTTTGGATGTTTCTTTCTTGATTAACATTGTTATATGCTTATAAGGTGTTCTTAATGCTAGATTAGTCTTGATCAAGTTGATTTAGAGCTTAAGTAATTTCATCCCGGGAAGGTGTTCGATGAAATGCTTGAACCAACCTAATATTGTCTTTTACATGTCTAGCCAATGACAATTGATGTTAGAAATGTTAAATGGTTAGTAGAATTGTGATTTATGCATGCTTGATTGTGTTAGGCCAACAACAATTGATGTTTAATGCATGATTAGCATATGGATTATTATCACGACAGTGGATTAGTCTATTTGAATGAGATCTGTACCTATAGATTTACTGATTGCTTTGTTTGAACATTCTAGATTGAATCTTGGTCATCTTATATCAATTGCCCATGGATCCATCCTTATCATTTGATTGAAATTTTATTTTTTCACGTATTTCTTGATTGGATTTGAGATCACGTTTGTTTATATTTCTAAGATCTTAGATTGTTACAAAACAATCCATCTTTCTATTTGCTTAGACTAAAAAAGTTTATATATTCTTAGCGTTATAGATCACTAGTTTCTTATGGATTCGATACTAAAATGTTATGATGACATGCATGTGGCATTGTTTACACAATAGGTTAATTGGTGTGTGTAAACAGAACTATCAGTGGTTTACGTCTACTTTGACTTTGACTAAAAAAATATTGGCTCTCAATCATGTTCGTACATATACATATATTCAGTTACATATCAATGTTAATATAATTTTATAGTTCAAAGATAAAAGGTAAACAGTTGACACGGCATATTTCTAGTATCATTACATAACAGACTACCAAACAGTTACACATTTACTCTATGAAATGAAAAACCAAAACCAAGAATTCTCAAATTCATCTGACAACAAATTAGCAAGTCATTTGACATGTATGATAACAAAACGTTGTAACGGTCAATATTACATAACATGTCCCAACAAAACAAAATATTAGTCCTATAAAGACCCATATTTGTAAATGGTACAACTATATAACCCAAATCTAAAACTTAACCCACATGAAATTATGATTAGACTAATAGAAAACTAAACCAAATTAAACCAAAAGAAGGTGCAGCATTATATAGAAAACAACAATGAAATAATTATTTGTACTTTATAACACCCAATAAAAAGAATTAAATAAAAAATCTGTTATAGTTATGGTATGAAACAAATACACAAAAATATAAATCACCCCAAACATTCCATGCATATCAATATCCATCATCTAACATTTTATAAATCATTTTAAAATTGTAGCAACTTATTTTAGCCATGAATAAATTACGTAACTATTTAGACAAGTTCTAAACATTAATCAAACATTTAGTATCAAATCCAAAATTTCTAAAACAAAAAAAATTACACTTACACTGCATCTACATATAAACAAAAATTATATCCCGCTTGAAACACAGATAAATCATTAGTTTAATAATATTTGTCTTGTCCAGGCTTGACATAGTGGGTTTATCTTATTTTAAGAGCATTTCTTGGAACCTAGATATAAAGTTCCTATTTAACAATATCATTTCAGAGATAAAGAGAGATATCACAACTAAGGAAAAATGGTACCGACATACGCGTGGTTGTGGACGCTACTCGCCTTTGTTCTGACATGGATGGTTTTTCACCTCATCAAGAGAAAGGCGGGGGATACGGAGGAAGCAGAGGCAGAGGAGAGAAGAGACGATGTCACTGATGTTATAATTGTTGGGGCGGGTGTGGCAGGCTCGGCTCTAGCTTATGCTCTTGCTAAGGTAGATCCATATCTTTAGCATTTAGTCCAACGTTTAAGGAAAAATGAAAAAGAGAGACTACAATAAAGAGAGTAATTATGCATGGGTGTCTAACCGTTCATGGATTTTAAATACAACAAAAGAAAAACTTGATTTAAAATTGTGAATCTAAGTACTAATTTCGATGAATGTCTACAAAAATGTTATTTTAAGTTTGGCATTAGTAGCTATTCAATATGTGTTCATGATTTACATGTGGATCTAGGATGGGCGGCGAGTACATGTGATAGAGAGGGACTTGAAAGAACCTCAAAGATTTATGGGAGAGCTGATGCAAGCAGGAGGACGCCTCAAATTAGCTCAGCTTGGCCTTGAAGGTTTTTCTCTCTTTCCTTCACATTCATCACTACACAATAATTCTTGATTTCTTGTTGCCATACGTC